ACTGGGTGGTACCTTTTTCCACCTGCTGCCTGGCCGAGTCACTAGGGCAGGACTCACTTCAGCTAGTCCGTTCTTGTACTGAAGAAAGGTAATGAGTTTGTCATTTTTGTATTTCCTTATATATCATCTTATAAATAGGAGCAAAAATGTGACATTTTTGGACAGTGTGCATCTAAATCATCGGTCTGGTAAGTGGGTAACTTCCTGTCCCATCAAGTCAGAGCATAAGCATCTTCTCTAGGTCAACTCTGGCATTTCCTCGCAGATCTGAGTTCCAATTCTGTCTGTCTGCCTCCTTCTCTGTCCATGTCTCTGTCTATCTCTCCCTGTCCCCTTCTCTCTCAGGACAGTATATCAAGTTTTTAGATCTTTAAGTGCATTGATGGCCACCTTCTGTCTAGGGTCCATTTACCTGGGGTGCCACAGCCCTTTAGGGACCCTGGCCTGATCACTGCCAAAGGCAAAAACCTCTGATGTATGTGTGAGTATTGAAACTCAACTAACTTGCACAAGGGATTCGAATTACTGGTGTCCGTAGTCAGAGGACATAGGAGTACTCAGGGTAAACCCTGAAGATTCTCACTGAATAGGTCAGAATTATAACTTTGGAGGAGAGAGGAAACCCAGGGAGGGAGGAGGCAGATGGGTAGTAAACATGATGACGATGCGATCTGAACACATATCAGTTCCCCTACGTGGATGCGCTGTGGGCTGCAAGCACACTAATGACAGTTCCAGGTGAATGAGTGAACACGCTTGGTTACAGATGCTCAACATAAAAATACTGTGACTCAGCACTTGCCACTGAGTCGCATCTTATGAGGAAGCACTAATGTCATAGTGTAAAGTTTTCTCACCATTTCTAGGACTTAAAAGAATATATGATTTCATTAATAAGCAGTTCTATATGATTGATCATATGGCAATTATATACAAACATAACAGAACAATTATATTTAAAATTGAAATTTTAATCGAGCAGGAAACATACTGTAACAACAAACAATTGCGCTGTTACTATTTGTTTGTTGGGTCTGTTGTGCTCACCTTTTCCCTCCGCACACCCTCTTCTCAGAGGTCGGTGACCCCCACCTTCGCTACACGGAAGGAAATGGGCTTGAGAGGTACAGAATGCAGGTATTAAACTTTATGCTAATGCACTCCCAGGTGCCTCTCTCTTTCTCACTCCCCCTACAGAATTACACAGTAATTGAGCCCTGTGCTTGGCCTCGCTGTTGTATACTGATTTGGATCATTGGGGTTCTGCTTAGGGATACAGTATTATATCGCGGCAAGTAACAGTAGTCACCCAGCTGAAGTAGTAACTCCCAGAAGAATTAAAGCAGGTTACTTTACGTTGACCCAATTTTTAAAAAAAAATCACTTACGTTAAATAAGGGATGTATAAGTTTAAAGGTAATTGTGTTTATAATCTGTGCAGAACATAAATATTATTTTGAATATGGATTTAGTGAGAGGCTTTGTGTAAAGTAGAATAATGTAAAAGTACAGTGACTCCTTAATAGAACCAATCATTTCACGAATTTTAAAATTTGTAGCTTACTCTCTTAAATAGAAACTTTTATTTTTAGGCCTAAATATATATAGATGAAAATATAAATTCAGAAACTTGTTACAAATTCATGTGTGATGCAAAATATAGAACACTAAATTCAAAAAGCTCTGGTCAGTCTCTGGTGGTTATTATTTAGTTTGTAAATCTGTGAGAACCAAGGTTATCAGAACCTTGAGTGCCATACCTCTTTTATCTTTCTATGAATTCCCTGTGGGCACCCAGGGCCCTGACAAATAACTAGCCATAATTTTATTTATTTATTTATTTATTTTGGTTTTTTTGAGACAGGGTCTCACTACGTAGTTGAGACTTACCTGGAACACACTATGTAGCCCAGGCTGGTCTCGAACTCACAGCGATCCTCCTGCCTCAGCCTCCAGAGTGTTGAGATTACAGGCATGCACCACCACACTGGGCCTCTAACTAGCCATAATTTTAAATTAGATGTTGAAGACTCACATCTCTTCTGAGCAATTTGGGGGAGAATGCTCTACCTACAGATACCTAGTCTTGTAGTTTCCATTTGCAGAATAAGTTTTAAATTTTATTATTTTGTGTGTATCATTCTGCTTTCAATCATAAGAATCCACATTATTATTAATAAGAATCCATAGCATATTATTAGAAAATTAGGTTAACTCTATAAAGTTTCCATATAATAGTTTTCACTTAACTATAATTTATAGCAAGGAAATGGCCCATAACTCCTCCGATTATCTAAGAGTTTATCTTACTTGTGTCAAAAATTGATACTTTCCAATTTAAAAATCTTACTATTTTTAGGAAACAATAAAAATAGTATGGAAAATATAATTTCTATATTGAAAATATTAATTTGTAATGAATAAGAAAATTGATTTATTCACTATTGCTATAGCTTACAAGACAGAAAATTAAAATACCTTTTCTATTACTTAAAGATAATCCTAACTCAATTTATTGCTATTTAATTGGGAACAGGTTTGAAAGAACTTCCCAGAAGCATTGGTTAAGTTTGTTCTGAGTTATTAAGATGTAGTTAAGAAATACATATAATAAAATTCTAAAGTATGAGTATGGTAGAGGTTTAATAACTCTAAGTGTTAAATTGTATAGACAGTCAAAACCTGAGTTCTCTCTTGTAGGCTTTGTATTGATCATATTTCCAAAAATGAATGGTCATACTTCTAATATTCTAATTGGGAACATTTAGAGACATAAATGTACTATGTTATACTGTAATTGGAGATCGAATTAGTCAAGGAAATGATGCTCTCCTGCCAAAATTAATTCTGGCAAGCAACGCTGTAATAATATATTAAATCCCATAGAAACAGCGCCATCAGAAAGAAGGGAATGATTATTCCAGATTGGCAGGGTCCCTTTGTTCTTAATTTGAGAACTAGCTCAAGGGATGGTCAGAGCACTATTAGAGAAAAATTCCTCCTTCCAACATGTTCTCAGGATTAAAAATATAATGGAGACATAAAAAAGACTTGAAAATTACAGCTGTAGAAAGCTAAGTCAAAAGGTAGTTTTAGAGGCCACCACTAAATAAGAGCCATAAACAATAGTAGAAATATTTCTTGAAAGCCTTCAGAAAATTTCTAAGGAATATTTTTAATCCTATCTTCTCTTCTTTTTAATAATGTGTTGACTTTCCTTGGGGTTATTAATTCCCTGTTATAGGGAAGGATTAATTTTTAGAGATAACACCCTTTATTACAAAATTCATAAGTAAATTCACCTCAATTAACTCATGCCAATAATATTTAATTTTGTCCTTGTAACCATAAAGTGATTTTTCTAAAACAATTGCATTTGTTTTGTCATTAATTCACATGGCCCTTGCAGTGATGATATGTGCTAGAATATTCTGAGTAAAGATATTAGCTGTCATAAATGCTATTTCACACCTTGTAGGAGTAAGACATGAGGAGATTAATACACTTCCCTATGTATTGTGTATGAAGGGACTACTGCATGTTCAGGCTAATAGTAGTGGCATTCTACTATAGCTGTTTTATTTCTCAAGTGAATAATTTGGGGTAGAGAGGAGTATGTAATGCATAAATAATTCCAACAGACATATAACTGGTAAAATGAATTTTCTGCAAAGAGAGGCAGTGGAAAAAAAATCATAGAAGTGAGGAGACCTGCCCACATCCAGTTTTTATCATTTGAAACACTCATTTATTCTGTAATCATGGACTCTAAGTCACAGGCTATGGTGTGTGTGTGTGTGTGTGTGTGTGTGTGATCGATCTTTCCCACCATTAGCTGTATTTGTGGGGAGAGAGAAGAAGGAGAAGAGAAAGGAGAAAGATAATTTCTTTTCAGGGTCAAGACTTTAATTTACAGGAGAGCAAAGGACTTGAAATTTGTCTTGCACTGTCTGCAAAGAGAGGGACCATTCCAAGGGGAGGAGCTCTGGGATGTTCAGGAATTATTACTAAGGCAAAGGAGAAAGGCTGAGTTGAGCTAGACTCTTCGGTGCCATTTAACACTCTGAAAAATTGGTGGGGTCTTCCTTGAGGGGTCCCATACTGGGAGAACAACTCTGAAGCTGTGCTTGCATTCTTAGGAACCACAGCTACCTGCGTGCATAGTCAGGAAGCAATTCTGATGCAGCCTGGATCAGCGAGAAACGGAAAGTTCTCGGAAACCCTCACATAAACTATCCTTTGAAAGGCATCAGTGAAATGATTCCTTTCATCGATTAGCAGTGTCTGTTGCAGATAAGAAAGTGAAGAAAGAGGATGGGAAGAAATGGGTTGATTTGTATCCTAGTTTACAGGATCAACCTTAGAATGCAAACATTCCCAGAGACAATTCGCCTGTTCGCCTTTCCATCTCATTACTGAAGCCATCCACTTGTGTGAAGTGTCAGCTTCATGCTCTACCAAATCATGAGTTTTTCCAGAACAAAACCAGGCTTCATTTACAGGCCAAAAAAAAAAAAAAAAATTAAGGAGATCAATAAAAGCAAATGTTCCTAACCAGTAAAACTGCCCAGTAGTGAGATATGTTTCTGTTATCTAGAATTGTTTACATGACAGTACTTTTTCTGTAAAGAAAAGTTATCGACATAGATGAAGTTGAATTTTCCATCTTATTTCAAATTTAATAATCTCATAAGTTGTACGAGGACCTGACGTAGCAGTATTCCTTAGGAAAATAGACAGCTGTCAAATAAAGTAATTTCTCATTTAAAATGAGAAGAAAGTGTGGAATTTATGGTAACCCTAAATATGAAACATTTTGTGATGAAGCATTAATGAGTATTCATCAAACGTAAAAGAATCAAGATGATTTCCGAGCTTGAGTATAAAAAATACTAAAGCAATCCCATGAAGGGAAAATCATACAGCTTTAAAAGGGAAGTGATTAAGTAGGGCAAGACGTTTGGGCCACAGTTTAAAGAGCTGATGTGTTTGTGCCATAGAATGTGAACGATGAACCTCCTACTTGTCATCCACCACATTTGGAAACTCGGATTTATTCCACAGTCAAAGGCCCTTTTATTCAACTCAACTGTTCAGACAGAGACTCTCCACAGGGACAGCTCAGCTATTCAATTGTAGGAGGTAAGAAGTATGATTGTACATACATCATTTCTACACTCTTTTACGAGACATTTGTGCAGGATTTTTGTAGCTGTTGGTAACATATCGTGAAATCTATTTTTTTCAAAAACACCTTCATATAATACAACAATGCATAATGCAGTTTTATTTCTGTCTCATTACCTCATCATTCTCAGGAAATACACATAATCATTTCACTCTTCAGAGACTGGGTGTTGATCCTCCTTCACTGGCCACCAGGCAGCATTTCCAGTATGATGGATTCCAGGGAATTCAAGCCCCTGTGACGGTCCAGTTACTTGTTGAAGTCACTGATGAATTAGGTGGGAGTAAAGCTCATCAGCTGTCGGCCACTTCTACCATCACTGTTCATGTGGTTCCCTGGACCACACCACATCCAACTTCATCCACAAAGACAGCTTCAACCACAGTGAGTACTTAGTGATTTACTGTAATTCCACAGTAGTACAAACTAGTCATAAACACACAAAGCACTTGGGAACTCTCACAGACGTTATCCCTATAGTTTGGCAGTGAAATATATTCATGAAAGCGTTACTTTAACACCGAAGAGTTTTCATCATCAGAATAAGGAAGGATAAGTGATGCTGGTTATTAGTCATGAATTTTGAGTCAAGGTAAATATATCAACATTAATTCTGTAGGCCTTTCTGCCACTTATTTCAACAAAATTCTCAGTAATTCTGTTGATTCTCATCATTGTATAATTTATCTATGTAAAGTAATATGAAGACTTTGTTATGGTTGTAGCACGATATTAGGATTATAAAAATATTTAACACTGTGATTTCTTCAAAAGCATACAATCTCTTTGTTGACGATGAGATATACACTTTGTCTTGGTCAGTTCAAGCTGCTATAACAAACATACTGTAGTCTGGGCAGCTAACGCAATAGACATTTGGTGTACTCGGTCCAGGAGCTATGAAGATGAGATTAATACAAGAATTGATTCAGTGTCTGATAAGGATCTATTTCCAGGTGTATAGATATCCATCATCCCAGTATATCCTCATGAGACAGGAGGAGGGCTGGAGAGCTCTCTCAGTCTCTTTGGAAAGATGCTAACCCCATCCACATGGGATTTGCATTCATGGAATAAGCACCTCTCTCAGACCCACCTCTCAATAATGCCCTGGGAGTTAGGATTTGCACATGTGAACGCTGATGGAACCCAAACACTCATTCTCTAACACATTCAGGATAATTTAAGCAAATGCTACCCTGTACCATATGGTAGTACAATCATTAGTTAACTTTGAGGTTGAAAATTAGGTAACTTTAATTGACAAACCATAACTTCTCCAAAACTAGAAGAGAAAAAGAAATGATGTAGTTTTGAAATGATTGATACTCACTTTGTTTATGTAGAAAGAAGAAACTCTTCAGAGAACAGGCAGAGAGTTAGCCTGGGAAGATTGTAATGAAATGTAGGAGCTGGGTTAGTGTCAGGCAAAAGAGGACTTGGGATGGAGCTCAGTGAGAGAGAGAGAAAGCAAGTTCATGATAGACTTGGAAAATATTAGACAAGGGCTGTCTTGAATGTAAACCTGAGTAGTTTAGTTGCCAGTGAAGACACGGAGTTATGGCCTCTATACAACAGAGAAGATAAGCCCACAGCACTTCACTAGTATGCAAAGAGAAGTCAGTGATGGTGTGGAACTGGTTTGTGTATCATACAGTTAGAAGAACCATTTCAGTGCACATTTCCATTCTCACTGGCACTAGTGTGAGGTTCCCTATATATCTAAGCTAATATAATGATATGTACTTGAATTAAGGTAACCATTTATTCATAAAGTTACAGAAAATTCCTCCCATTGCTTGACTTCAGAGTCAAGAAATTTTGTGGTAACTGTGTAAATTCTGAACTTAAATATACTTGATGCAAAGAAGACATATTAGATTAAAGTAGAATAGAACTGGACTGTGCCTAAGAGACACAAATTAAAATTCTTTTTCTGGGAAATTCATACTATCCTAGACCTTCACTACTTATTTCTAGCAATGTTTGAACCCAGTGGATATAACCCATTATTAAATATAGCCAGGTACACAATAAAATAATATACAAAACAACAGCAACTGTAGCTAACATATTATCAAACATGAACTGTAAATAAGGATGCTTATTAAGTTCAAGAGATAAATCAAGTTGGAAATTTTGTTAGGGTATTGGAGTCTATGCAAGTAGCCTATGATATTTGAAGATATATCAAATATATCTAGGATTTAAAGACACAATAACCAAAGTCACAACTTGATACATAGATGTAATGGCTGATTAGAAACATTTAACAAAATAATTAAAAGCTGATAGGTTAGAAGATTCTATTCAGAACGATGCCTAGAAAGATGAAAGGTTTGAAAATAATGAGGGGAAAGCACAAAAGTTAAAATGAGAAACTTCAGTTTATTTTAATTTCAGAGAAAGAAGACAGAGGCATTGCATATTTTCCCAACCAATGAAAGATAACCTGTAAAGCGAGGGAGTCCCTCAATTCTACTGGGGAAAGAATGAAAAGAATTTTAAATTTAAACATATAGAAGAGCTGCTTAAAATTCAAATATAACAAGAAATACTAAAATTGGTCCAAAAATGCATGTATAAACATATTTTATAATGGAAATGATGCAATCCAGAAAAATGGCAATGTTTACATTTTTATAAGAATGTAAGCACCAACCTAAATTTTTCGGCAGAGCAAAACAATCTAATGATATTCTGCTTTGGCTGTATCTCACACATTTTCGTGTAGTACTTTCATTCATTCATCTCAAAATTTTCCCTATTGTCTTAACTTCACAAGATACGGGGAATTTCCTAGTTATTTCATTGGACTTCTAATTATTTATGGTCAGAGATAACACCCTGCAGGCTTCAAGCCACTGATAGCTATTCAGACTTGCCTTGTAGCTTGCTGTATATTCAGATGTTATAAATGTTCATGTGCCAACTATCTGACCTGTCAAAGGGGTCAAGACAAAGCCATGACAAATGAAAGATTTGAGAAATTGTATTGGACAATTGATACTGACACAGGTAAAAAAGGAACAATTCTCTGTCTCCACCAACTCCAGATGAGTTGTAGACTAAAAAGGCACAGAGAAAGAAAATAACTAAACTTTAGAAAGAATGTACTTATCACTTTGGGGAATCACACTTTTGGTATTAGGAAAGCTTTCTTAAATGAAATGACCAAAAACAAAAACAAAACAGAACCAAAAGCTAGCCACACGAAAAATTTTGAGAAACCTCAGTGTGCTAGAGTGAAGAGCATCTTATTTAAGAGATGGAAGGGCAGGGGGTCCAACTATTTGCTTCAGAAAAAACTGAGGGGGGAAGAGTAAGTCAAAGTAAAATTTAAGCAATAATGGGCCTATTGACAAATCCTTGTGACTGTGATGCTGTCTACGAAGTTATTTTATTTTTTTATGTCATGGCTTATGTATTCAAGATCACGAAAAAGTTGTTAAACACTGTTCAGAATTCAGCTTAGAAAGCTTATATTCTTTGTTCAACTGTTACAGTTCAATATGGTAAATTGATCCCTGAATATAACTTCATATTATATTGTCATTACTCATTAAAACTGTATCTACCATAGAACCTTGAGCCCTAAATTTTATACAATTAAATACTACAATTTATTAATTTAAGTGAGGGCATTCTTCTGGCCATCCATAAATTGCGCCTTGGTCCCTTCTTGCCCAAAGGTGTGATCATGAAACTTTCTTCCAAATTCCACATCTTTCCTGTCACTTAGCAGGGCAGGTAGGGATTGCCTACAATTTACATTGTTTCTTGTGGTGTAAGTCGCCACAGTAGCATTCCAAAGAGTTACATTGTATTGTATTGTTTTTCATTTGCAGCTCATCGTGAACCTCACCTCTCTATTTTTAGTTTTCTCTGCTGAATTTTACTCCTTTGGAGATATTATTTTAGCCTATACCTCTAAGGAAAAAAAAAAATCTCTCAACTTACGTTCACATATAGATTTCCACCACCCAAATTCACAATTAAGAAAGCAAAATATAGCAAGGCAGAGGCATTGTAATAAGACATAATAGACAAAATAAATTCTGCAGCAAGATATGAAGGGAGTTTTAAGTTGAGCTAAGTGATACTGTAATCATACACTTCCTCTGGCAAAATAACTTAAGCTTGTAAAAGTGATGGACTAATTAACGTTGTCTGGCAATGATTGCAACTTGTGACTTATGAATTCATTCTCGAGGGGAAAATGCTGTGCTTTAGCATCTCAGCTTTAATATGTGTTTGTGTACTTGTATAATACATACCTCTTTGCAGGGAGATACACACGCTTCTCTTTGCAAAAAGTGTTACAAAACTAAAAGCAGCATTAGGAATTCTGTGGTTTCATTTGTCCATTGGGCAAGAAAGAAAAATGAGACCTAAATAGGTATGTACTGCACAAGGCATACAGTACTGCAAGAGTGATCGAAAAATACAGTCAATGTTTAAATTTTAACATATTTCTTACAGCGAAAGAGACATCACCATTCATTCCCGCAAATGTTCCCTCTTTCTTTGAGCCTATACTGAGCCTTCATGAACAGGCTTATTCCATCATTTTTGCCACTTTCTGGGCACTTCCAGAAGTTCACTTTCATGTTGTTAGCTGCTCTGCCACGGTGGCCTGGTGTTCTGAATCTATTTGAAATGCTTCCCTTTCGTGGTCATTTTGACTTTGGAGAAAAGCCACGAGCCACATGGTCCAGATCTGGAGAAGAAAGTGGCCCAGGGCACACTGTCATGTTCTTAGCAGCCTGTCTTTCCCTTGAGTGGCACTTGGCAGCAGAATTCACAGTTGTTTTTATTGCATGTCATAAAGACACAAAAGTGAACTTCGGGACTGCTTCAGAAAGTGAAAAGCATGATGGGATGGGACAAGTGTGTTTGCAGCTCCAGGGGAGTGGAAGTTTTCTGAGGGGGATTCATGCAGTGTATCTTTTGCTGTAATATTTTTATTTAAATATTCATTGCATATTTTGATCTCCCTTTGTAACTTCCACTCTCCTGAGAGTAACCAGGCACACAAACAGACCTACATCCTTTAAGATAATTTTTAATAGGCAACATTTCTCAAAGTTTTTTTAATAATCACTGACTGTTATTTATGCTTGTTATAAAATTATCTTGTAAAGATCAGACATGTCTCCAGGCATGTGTTTACCAACTATACGGTCAAACCTTGGGCTAGCTGTTGGCGTACAAAGTTGAGTGGGTCACAGAAACGCCTTTCAGCTACAGATAATAGAGTATCTAACGGGAAGCAGCTTAAATAATCAGGACACCTGCTTAGAAATGTGGGGAACTTGGCGGAAAAGAAAGGCATATGTTTGAATATGTGTTTCCTTCAGTCTAGGAATATGGACCTCAGTACT